AGCTGTTTCCTACCATGTAAGATGGCACGCAAGTCGGGCATGCCAGTCTGGTGGCTCAGGATCCCACGCGTTGGCACACCTGACTGACGACTCGGTCTTTGCAGAAGATTGGGTTGGCGTGTCCGAAAGTCTTGAGATTCCAGCAGATCCGGTGGACCCCAACGCTATGCAGAATTGCGACGTGCATGCACAAAGACGACATGTTCTTGGTTAGCCTATCGTAGGGCATTTTGGCTGCACCGGGAGTGGTCTATGCACCACAACTATCCGAGAACAACATACCTCACATATCTGTTCCTATATTTAGGATTTTTGGAACGTGGATAGACGTGCATTTTTCCTTGCTCCAAAATGACGCCTGAGACAAAAGAGTGTACGTTTAGCGAAGGGGCCATACCGTCATTAGGTGCTTCTCATCAGGAAGTAATGCCTAGCGCACGAAGGTGAGATCATGTCCGATGAGGCTCTGCAGGCCTGCGTGGGACTCTTCTCGCACCCATTTGACACACTCCCATATTGCAGCCATATTGACTCGAGCAAAATACCACATTATTATAAAAAGAAAGAAAATACACTTCATCATCTCTTTATTTATCCTGGAAAAAAAAACCATGTTTCTAAATGACTCAAAAACACCGTACCCTAGTCTTCTATTCTAGTCTATATCAGTACCCTATGTATAGCATATGAATAATTTTCATTATTAAGCTGGATGGATCCGCTACATCGGACGGCCAAGAGCTGCTGGTCCTCAGATCAGGTCATATGATGTACTGGACCCTTCCATGTGGGATATATCATATATGGTAAAAAAAAAATTGGATTTGCCCCGCGCGCGTGCTTCACAGGGACTCCGTGCACGCAGCTACTCTCTCCGTTCTAAATTACTTGTCGTAAAAATGGATGTATCTAGAATTAAAATATGTCGTAAAAATGGATGTATCTAGAATTAAAATACATCTAGATACATACAAGTAATTCAGAACGGAGGGAGTACCTGGCTGGCAAGGACATGTCGACCATTCTCTCCCCCTTGGTCGCTACACATTTTCCTGAATCGACCGCCGCAACACTCCCGTTCAGGCTGCCGGTTCGATCCTACAGTACATCCGCCGGCACCCTAATCCCGGCCCTTCCAGTCGCCTCTCCCATTACAGTCCCCGCCATGCCATGGAGGACAAAGGCGGGAATGCTGGCGGTGGTGGAGGAGCGTCACTGGAATTTGGATCACGCACTGGGCACATCACAATGCTGGAAATCAGGTGACGTGGAGTGATCCTGATAGTGGAGCCAATTTTCTTGTTGACCTGTGCCTTCTGATCCATCATTATTCAAGCCATACATTGCAGTCTAAAATTCGTGACCACCAGGTGTTTGCGTTTATGCGCACAAGGCTTCTCATTTTCTATTTTAATGACCCGTACTTCCCAATCAAGGCAGAATCGAACAATGCCAGGAAATCCTAGATTCCAACCTAGAGTTTGTTTGTTTGTTTGTTTGTTTGTTTGTGTGTGTGTGTCTCCACAAAGCTTTTCGCTTTTTCTGTCCAATCTTATATGCTGCTATACAATTGTGTAAATCTCATATCGAACAAACGTATGATGATGACATCTATACCGCTATATTGCACACAAATAGCTTTCAATATAGACAAAATCCTAGAGGCTCGCTAGGTTGTTACAAGAGACGGCGGTCAAATGACATAGTCAGCTAGTTCTACTATGGGTCGACACCAAAACAACACAGAAAAGAAAACCTACTAGAAAGTACTAGATCCTAACTACATCTGTATAGTCGTGGGAGTATGGGACCCACACCAACCTTGTCGCCGGCTGGCGGCTAGCCTGAGATGAGAGGGGAGGGGCCAACAGTGGAACAGAGCAGAACGCCGTGGTTACTTCTTCTCCCTCCAGTTGCACTTGCAGCGCGAAAAAGAGAGGATGTCGCTTTCCGAGACTTCTTTCCTGAATCTTCAGGCAGTAGAGATAACAGCTTGGACTTCACCTGTATGTACAGCACAACTCCGTGGGTTTATAACATAGAAGAAAGAAATGTCATGTACTCCGGTGACCATAAAGAAATGTTGGGGGTACCTTTTAGCTCTCTTTCCTAGTAGGGAACCACAGCTATCAAAATGGGTAGCTGCGTTCACCAAATTTGTAACACGTCTCTCCTGACCCAAATAGTAGTTTGTGTCTCCTGCAAAGTTAACACATAGTTAAACTGATGCCCAGATCACAGTCCGACAGGAGATAATTCTGGTTAATACATTGAAACAATACTTTATATAGGAATATCATCTCTCAGGCTCACAACTGATTTCAGGAGATGATGACATGGAAGAAGTGAGTAAGAAACAAAATGGCTGATGAGAAGTGGGGTATACCTATTCTGACATGACCGATGCGGGAAATCTTGTTCCATTCAGAGCTCTCTTTCTGTTTCCAGCTTTCCTCCACCTCTGGATCACATTCTCTGATAATGAAAGACTCCAGCGAAGAGGGCAGGTCAGGAAACGGGAGGCGACGGCGAACTTCATCAAACTCCAGTCTCTTGAGAAAGCAAAAGTCTTCTAGCCTTAATGTAATCTCCGGCTTCAATATCTCCAGGGTCTCAACGGACCTATTTTGTCTCATCCATCTCTGAGATATTGTTCCACATCCAACGGAGATGATCAAGTTTTTTTGTGCTACACAATCTGTTCAGTGGCTCCATTTTAACATGAAGGTGGTATGGATCCAGAGGGAGTCCTTCAAGGCGACCCCAACCAATGAATCTCCATACATTTCACCTATTTCTGCAGCCAGCTGAAGCTGGTCACAGTCTGTAATTTCTAGCCAACTGAGATATGAAAGAGCTCCAAGCCCACCCAAGGATGACAAGAAAATACAGTCTTTTGCAACCATTTCTCGCAGTGCCGTGAGACTCCGGAACACCTCTGATGATGGAAGAGACTTCACCCTGGAGCAGTTGCACAAACTTAATGATGTAAGATTAGTGAGACCAACCAGTGAATTCAGCAAAGGAAGTTGGAGGTCACCACACTGCACCATAGAGATTTCCTTAAGCGTGCAAGGGAGTAGTCCACCATCAACCTTCGGCATCGTCATTCTCAATGAGTAACAGCACCCAATACGAAATTCCGTAAGATCATTCATGCTCCCAAATGATAAAGGAGCATGGATTAACCTTTTACAGTCAACAATCTTTAGGATCTGAAGAGTGCAGATATAGTGCTCCTGCAGTAGAAAGCTCTCTGCCAACATGGTCAAATTTGAACAATTGCTGATGATGACTGATACTAACTTGGGTGGCATGGCCTCAGAACCAATGTTACCATGGTGGACAACAATTCTCGGGAGGATGTCCAATCCAACATTATTTATTTCCAGCTGCATCAAAGTCAGAGGTAGAAGTGGCAGTTTCCTTAATCCCTGGCATCCTTCCACCACTAGGGTTTTCAGATTTTGAGGCAAGGAATCACCAGATGATTGTCCAATCTGTTTCAATCCAGTAAGGTTTTGCAATTCGAGATGCTTGAGTAGCTGTAGATTTCCAAGAGATGGAAGGCACACCCAATTTTTGCACTGTCTCAGCTCAAGTGACACCATATTGACCAGTGGGGGATGGTTTATTCAAGGTGGGAATCGGACACCACTGTATCCTGTAATTTCAAGATTTTCAAGACGAGCATGTGGCTCAAGTATATCAAGAACCAGATTGTCTTCCTTCAGAGCCTCATTAGTTTCAGACCAGTTAAGTGACAGTGACCTAAGATAGGATTTCTCATTTATCTTGGCCTCTATAACCTCTTCATGCCTTTCAACATTCTCAAGGTTGCACAGTCGTAGCTTGCAAAGGCTTGTTAAATTCATCAATGAACTTATTCGGTAACCTTCCTCTGACTGAATACTGAAGTTATACAATTCTTGAAGTGAAGTTAATCTGCCAACAGGACACTGACCAAATCCATTAGTACCATAGGACACATACCACAGGTGAAACAGGTTTTCCATATTCTCCACTTGTTCTGATGCTGTACCTATTCTTTTCGCTGCAATAAGTACTTGTAAATGATAGAGCTTAGAAAGTCCATGTATTTTCTCAATCGTAGAGAAAGAGATATAACGAAGGTGCTTGTTAGCAACTTCTTTCGGGAAACAGAACTTGGTTACCCCTTTTAAGCTCAATAACCGTAAGCACTTAAGTTTTTCTATAACTTCCTCCAGTGCATATACATGACCAGTGCTGACATGATAAGAATCTTCCACGACGAGTGTACGCAAACTCTTAAAGCAGGAAATGGCCTTGATCTCCTCACATGATAACTTGCTGAAGTTTGCTATCCATAAGGGCTAGTTTGGTTCCCCCGATTCCCCCCGGGATCCCGGCCTTATCCCTGGGCGGAGAAAGCACCGGCCAATCGGACCCCGGATTATTCGGCAGTCAGTTTGGAAGTCCATTGGACGGGGATATCCTGGCCCAATCCACGACATATCTACGGGGGGAAAATCCACGACTGCGGAGATCGGGGACGAAACCCCATCTCTCTCGTGCGAAAGCAAACTTCCTTCGTCTCGTGGATCCCCTCGCCTCCTCCAACGCCTTCCTCTCTCAAGCAGCAAAGCCTATGACCTCGTCTGCTCCCTCAAGCCCACGATATTTGTCAAACTTCCATGCCCTTCCCCGTGATGCCCAAATGGCACCAGGGATATCTCCCTATTGTGAGAGGGGATGCCATGAGCACAGGAAAAATCTCTCCCGGTGACTGCTACCCTGGGTTTTCCCTCCTCAGCAACCAAATGAGCCCTAAGTGTCTAACCGTACACTTATGATGCAGAAAACCACCGGATTCAAGTCTTAGGCATTCACCGGTAGAGACATTACGTGCCAACTCATGCAATAAATCATGCACAACATAGTACTCTGTGCTGTATTTCTGGTAAGGATTTACTGTTGGCACAAAAGTAAAGAATGACTTTCTTGCCAACTGCTGCAAATTATCTTTCTCCCATGTCTTCTGGCCTTTTGGTCCCACCTTCAGTTTGCAGGATCAGTCCTGAACCCATCCACATTTTCACTATGTCTTCCTTCTTAAACTTCTGTCCTTTTGGAAATATGCTACAGTATCTAAAACAAAGCTGCAACTGTTCAGGTAGATGATGGTTGCTCGATCGAAGAACAGTTGTGACGATAACATCTGTGCTTCCTTCTAAATGTTCTAATTGTCTCTCTAAGTTCTTCCAGTGCTCATCAGTTACATTGCTACGTAGATGGCCACCTGCAATCTTTGTAACCAAAGGACAGCCTCGAAACTTTTTTGCTATTTTTTCAGCAACTGACAAGAGATGTGCATAATCTTCCGGATTCAAACCACCAAATGCACACTTCTTGAAGAGCATACAATTTTCATCTTCATTTAATCCATTTAAGTGCAAATAGTCCTTTCTACTTCTCATCACACCTGTAACCATATCTGCCACAGATCTCATTCGGGTTGTCAGCAGGATCTTGCTTCCTGTTTGGATACTCCGCAAAGGTGCCATTAAATTTTCCCATTCACTAATTTTGTTATCTTCCCAAACATCATCCAGAATAAGCAGAACTTTCTTACGGTCCAGTTTGTCTTTGAGAATTTGTTGCAATGCTTGCAAAGTATCAGCATTAGGCTTCTCTTTTGTAACTGCCTCCAAGATCTTTTTCATTACCCTTGTTGAACTGAAAACATTATCAGAAACATGTACCCACAAAACACAGTCAAAGTGTGCTGAACCTTTCAATTCTTCGCACACAATCTGAGCAAGGGTTGTCTTTCTCCAATTCTGATTATTGCAAAAACCGGTACCTGAATAACAGTATCTGGATCATCATATACATTATCAGTCAACCACCTTATCACCTGGTTCTTCTCACTGTCACGACCAAATATCTCAATAGGCACCAAAGTGGAGCTAGTCTGGTATACACTTCTTTCAGCGCGATCTTGCAGGACAAGATTATCAACACGGCATAAAAGCTGAAGGAAACCACCCACATCTTTAGCAACAGTTTCTAACTTCTCTATGGCCTCCCTCAGCTTCTCTACCATGTTTCCCTCAGGAGTCATCCTTGCAGCCTTGCCAACAATCTGTTCTTTGAAAAACTTTGTGAACGGATTACGCACCTGTCCTAGGCTGTGGGCTTCTGCCTCTTCTTTAAGCTTGTGGTAGTCCATCTCATCAAGTGCATCCTCAGCTTCCTCGACTGCATCGCGGAATCGCCAGAGCCACTCAGCTAGTCCATTGCTCTCCTCACTGATCTCCTGATGATCAACAACATCGTACACCGCTTGGATGTCCGTGAGCTTTTCTGACAGATTATTCTTGAGCTCCTCTAGATCGTTAGGCTTGTACCACTCACTGAGATAACCGAATGCCTTGTTCAGGATGAATGAGATGGCTGGGGTTGCAACCGACTTCCCTGCAAAGACTAGTGCAGCAGTAGCAGCCATTGTTGTGGACAGGAGGTTTGGATCTCGCTCTCTGGACAGGAAGCAGGAAGGACAAGGAGGAGTCAGGACTAACACAACTAAAGAAAGATCTTTGCAGGCGACTTGTAGTCCTTGATACCACAATATAAACCTTCATTGACTTTAAGCATCGATTTTATAAAATGATATAGTTTTAAAATGCTAATAGAGCATATTATTTTCGGTGGAACATGGAGCTGGAGCGCAATCAAAATCCATTATTTTGACGTGGAGATTCCTTTAGAGAGTTGTGTTTGACTTTGGAATCGTTTACCGAAATCATTAATTTCCATGGAGGCACATATTGTACTTGTTTAAGCCAAACCACAAGTTCCGTGCAAGCACGTCATATATTAATAAAAGTGACAAGAAACTTGATAACTATTACTAGTTTAGTTAAGTGAACATCGTGGATGCGCCTAATGCCAGTGGACATGTTTAATCGTGCAACTACAGTTATTTACTATTGATCAATCACTCACATGATCTGGTTCCAAGGTAGGGTCAACCGGTTCTGGCTACTGGTTTATGGCCCTTCTGCAGTTCTGCATCTAGTGCACATGGAACAACTGAAACCTGAATGCCTGAGTCTTTAGTTGCACCAAACTTCATCTCTTCCTCACTTTGCTTTTTAGTTAAATCTTAGTCTATTAAAGACATGTGAGTATTAACTGTGTTAGATATTACATTAGGACATAAATGGTTACAACACGTTCTTAATGTCGTCGAGCCGTAGATGCCTCTTCTTTGCCAAAAGATAACTTGTAAAGTCTCCTTTTGGAACACCGAAATAAGGGACGTCACACAGTATAGAATCTTGCAGAATTTCAAACATAGGAATAGTAGACATTTTGCGTACCTCAAATTAAGAGCCGCGCTGTGTGAGGAGTGAATGGTGCACATTTGTTCCTGATGCGAGGCTGTACTGTACAAGTTGGAAATAAAAAAAACTTGTGTGCTTGCAGCAACGAAAAGGAGGCGAAGAGCCCTGATCAGGTGCGTGTTGAATTGTGGAAATGCAGGGGAGGGGAAGCGCAGTCGATTTCTGAAGCAATTTACCCAGGTGAGAAGATGGGGGCATGAATCAAAACAAAAGTACTTTTTGCTCAAGCAAAAGGTGGCGGCACAATAGGAGCACTGGATGTTGATCAGCTAACAAGTGGCGGATGCTTTCCAGGCAGGGGTGGAAGATTCAGTGACAAGTAAGACCTGATTCTAGTGTTGCACTTAAAAAACTAAGCTGCATCAGTTTTAATATATAGCCATTTTGTTGTACATAGGTGAAAATAAATCCTCTTCTCTTCCTTTCTAGGCAAAATTTCATCTAATCTGAAACAAATGTTATCCCTACAATATTTTCATGCTCGGCTGAAACAAATTTTAGTTTTGTTGGAATCATCTTTTGGCTGCTGTGGAAAACAGTGGACATGAACGATCGAAACAATTTCAGTATGTTGCAACGGAAACATCTGTCACAAATGGTCGAACCAATTTCCAGTTGTCATCGATGCGGATTCTTGAATTGGCTGCTTGATCAACTTCTTCTGTGTTAGAAACAAAATAGTTGTTTATAGTAATTTCCCATATAAACAGCATTGCATGAAACTGTTTTCAGTTATCTTTCTACATCAGTTCATGGAGCTTGTCTGGGGCAAAAGAAAGATGTGGGCAGCATGCATTCAGTTATCGTTCACAAAATCGGGTACAGGACACTGAACCTGAAATTGCGGCGCATTTAGTTTGCTGTAGAATACTGAAATACTTTGCTCGGCTACAATACAAATTAGCCGTGTCAAATGTCGAGATTGCCCCCATTGAGATGAACAGTCACACAGCAGTTCTCCGATATATAAGAGCTCACACTGGCTGAATGAACAGTCACCATTCACCACTCACCACAGCAGTTCTCTTTCTCTTCTATTCTCATTGCCTGCCAGAGGAGGGAGATGGTGGTGAAGAAGAGAGCGGCGGCCATTGCCGCCCTGTGCATGCTCCTGCTCCTCATGCTGTCAAGGCCATCTCGTCAGCAGCTCTCGGATCACTCCTGCGACTGCTACCGAAAGTGCTACTTAGAGTGCAAGAACGCCTTCCCGATGCTCTGCAAGGTCGTGTGTGGCGGCAGCTGCAATGACAACAAGGACCCTGTCGTCGCCTGCATGGTCGCCTGCTGCACCAACTCTGTCTGTGGCCTGCCACCAGCGCCATCCGGTAAGAGGACCTACCACCCTACTTTATGTGTCCGTCCGCAGAGGCACGTTGATGGAATATGTGTGCCCTTTTTGCTGTTATTTTGTTCTCATGATCTTGTGCTTGCACTGCCATTTTGCATATGCAGTTTGCGCTCCGGATTGTATCCATGCATGCAACAAGACGTGGGGTGGCCATGGTCCCAGCAAGGAACCTTAAAGATGGAAGATCGGTTGATCATGGGATCATACGATGTTGAGCGGCTGCACAAATGCAATAAAATGTATCTCACTTCGGTGCACTACTTGTGAGAAAGTTTGTGAATCTTATAACAAAGCCAGTTATCGAGGCATGTGGCAAATACCTGCTAATTTTGATGTGTCTTTGATTTTAGCTTCCCCTGTCCAGATTGCAAGAGCAAAATTATCTATCTTATTTTTGTGACAAGGAAGTGACATATGAGGTTCATGTAACAAGTAAAAGAATTCAAACATGAGCAAAGTCATCCAAGCTTTGTGTGAATCCCAACAAAGGGAAAATAATTTGAAATTCATCAGTCAGAACAGAACCAGACAAATTCATTGGTCAGACTCACAAAATAGGACATAAGCAGAAATTCGACTTAGGATTTCCCTTACTCATACAACATGGGACACAATCAAAAGAAAACAGTGAAAACGAGCGCATGCAAAATACAACACACCGTGTCCCTGCATTGTACATAGACTTTTAACAATGACGATAATCACACACACCCAAAACACTGAAGCACACACACCCGTGTATGAAAGAATTCAAGTTCAAACATTAGCCAACCACTGAAGCCTTCACCATATCTCAAAAAAAAAAAGTAAAACTATCCCAGTAGTATTGCTATGCTACTGAATATATGCAAATTTTGTTAAGTAAATAAAAGTGCATAATTGCAAACAATTCATAAGAGATGCCATTCCATGCAGATACTTCACATCTCCAGGCACTTAAAATTGCAATTTGTCCCTTACTAGTACTAAACAGCAGGTAATTAAACATATATACAATAGTTTTTACTGATATGTGCCATGCATCCATATAAACAGTATTGTATGAAAACTGCATCCGGTTTTCTTTCTACATCAGCACAGGCAGCTTCATAAGGGGTTGTCTGGGCAAAAGAAAGATGATGAGCATCATGCAACTGTCTAATCAGGTTATTTTGGCATGAAATTCCATTCGAGTTACATTCGGCAACTTGTATCAAGCTGTATAGAGGTGATTAAATGTGCCATAACTTGCACACTGGTATATAAATCAGAACTGCATTCTGTTTTCTCTATATCAACACATGCAGCATTGCAGCTTTAAGGTGAGCAGCGAGAACCACTAGCACAATTGGGTACAGGTACATGACACTCCAACTTTGGGTTACGGTCCTTTGATTTGCTGGAAAATAGTGAAATGCTATTGGTCCCATTACGAATTATCCGTGCCAATGTCGATATTGCCCTCGGACCTCCAATATATAAGGGCCCTCACTCTAGCTGAATGGCAGAGCCACCAACCCACCACACACCACAGGAGTTCTCTTCTCCCGTACGATTGTGAGGCCAAGGAGATGGAGGCGAAGAAGAGAGCGGCCGCTGTTGCCACCCTGTGCATGCTCCTCCTCCTCACGCTGCCAAAGCCATCCCATCAGCAGCTGTCCGAAGTCAAGTGCGAGTGCTACCGGAAGTGCTACCCTGGGTGCAACAACAGCACCCCTCCGTGGGTCTGCAAGGTGATGTGCGCCTGTAGCTGCCCCTTCTTCGACGACATCTCCGACCCCCTTCGCACCTGCTTGGACGCCTGCAACACGGACCCCATCTGTGACCTGCCAGCGCCGTTGACCGGTAAGACATGAATGATAGAATATGTTTTCTTTTCACACAAACTTTATTGGATGCGTTTGCTCTGTTTATGTATGAATTCTCATGTACATTGATTGAATGTGTGTTCTTTTCACAAAGCAAAAAGGAAACGTCTGTTCTGATGATCTTGGGCCGTTTCGCAGATCCTGAAGTTTGTGTAGACGAATGCTACAATGTGTGGGGCGCCCCTGGTCCCGATCCCGACGAGGAACATTGAAGAGCTAAAAGCCGGTCGAGCAGCTGTGATTGCTGCACCTGATGTCGAGCAGCTGTGATTGCTGCATCAATAAATAAAATGTGTTTTGCTTCCTTGTAACACTTGTGAGAAAATTTGTGAATCTTAATATAAACATGGTTATCGATGCATGTGGAAAATCCCTGCTAATTTTGATTTTACCTTCCTCTGTCCAGATGACAACAACAAAATTCTTTATCTTCTTTTTGCGAGGATTAAGGAACATAAAAGCTTAACATTTAAATTATTCAAATATTAGCAAACTAATCCAAGCACTGCATGAATCTCAACGAAAGCAAAATAATTCAAAATTCACTGGTCAGAACCAGATAAGCATTCACCCAAAACAAACACACAAAATGAGACATAAGTACAAATCTGACGCAGAATACTCCCCACGTAGTACAGCACTGAACACAAAGGAAAAGGGGAAAAGATGAACACATGCATAACACAAGCAAACGATCAATTGAAATGTAGTAACTAATTGAAGCAAGCTATCAAGGCACATCTATATCTCGGAAACCGGAACGTAACTGTAGATACCTGCAGGGAAATCACATGGCGTCAGTCAAAGCAATTTGTACAAGGCATTCATGGAAAACCGTTGACATTATATCTGAAGACATTGTATGGCTCAAACAATAAGCACTAAGCACTAGCTAAACCATCTTGGAAATTGTGTGAAAAGCTCCGGCGTGAGATCACCTCAGAATTATATTAGAGAAAACCAACATTAGAAAAAGATTCCCGACATGTGCTGATGTAGAAAGAAAACAGGTCGCTTCACAGGGAAAATAGAAAGATGAGCAACATGCACTTTTCTAATTCGTGTAAGATCCAAGGTTATTTTCAGGTGCTCCACTAGGGGCTAGTAAGTGGCAGTAGGCACCATCTTGTTCGGGAATTAATACCATTGGAAAATTGGCTACAGGACACTCCAACCTGAAATTGTGGGTCATTTGATTTTCTGGAAAATACTGGAATACTTTGTTACGTTACACTACAAATTATCCAGGTCAAACGTTGATATTGCCCTCAGAACTCCAATATATCTGACTGACTAAGAGAGCCACCAGTCACCTGAAAACTCCCACAGCAGTTCCTTCCCTATTCTCTTGTCATAGCTCGTGCGAGGAAGGAGAGGAGATGGAGGTGAAGAAGGGGGCGGCTGCCATTGCCGCGCTGTGCATCATGCTCCTCATCATGTCAGTGCCATCCAAGCAACAGGTGGCCGCCATGTCCTTCTGCGACTGTTACCAGCAGTGCCACGACGGGTGCAGGCACAGCGTCCCTTGGTGGCTCTGCAACGTCGACTGCGCCAGCAACTGTGACGGAGTTGACAAGAAGGACGCCCTCGCCGCATGCATCATGGTCTGCAGCACGGACTCCATCTGTGACCCGTCAGTGGCACCAACCTGTAAGACCAACAGAACACCTTACTTGCATTCCATTTGCTCCGTTGCTTTTATAGATGAATTCTCCTGATTCTCCTGAACATCGGTGCAACATATGCTCTCTTCTGCTCGTCTTGGCCATTTTTGCAGATACACATGGTGTTGCGGATTGTATAGCTGAGTGCAACAAGAGGTGGGGCAACAATTAACGCCAAGTAACCTTCAAAATAAAGAGTTGAATAGCCTCTGGATCATGGGATCGTGATGTTGAACGGCTGTGATTGCTGAACCAATCAATATTCAATAAAATGTGTATTGCGCGTCCACACAACACTTTGTGAAATTTTGCAAATCAGAGTGACATGTTTACTTCATACTCCAAACCTTGGCAATCTCATCCACTTAAACATTAGCAATCTCACTGAAGCCTTCCCTCAATCTCAGGGAAACCAAAACAACTCAACATTCACTAGTCAGAACCAGGTAAATACAAAAACGCTAAATGGGCATAAGGAGAAATTCAACGCAGAATTCGTCCTTGCCTGATACAATATGGAACTCAATCAAAAGAAAACAGTGAATATAAACACACACAAAATGCAAGGAAGATCAGCTGAAAGTGTTATGACCGGCATATTAGGGGCTTAGCCCAGTTAGTTGTGGTCCAGTTTATCTTATCGTTGTTAGGAGCTTAGCCCAATTACTTTATTAGGAGAATTATATAAACTAGTGTAAGGACCTGTTTTGGGATTAAGCAAGAAGGAATCATATTTGCTCGGCTTCCTTAGGGAGCCGGGAGACCTAACCCTAGCCGCCGCCCCTGTGCCCTCTCTCTCTCTCTCGCACGCAACAACGGCGCCCCAGCGCCAGCGATCACGCCTTCCTCCCCGCCATCCCTCATTCCACCCCTACAATCTGAGACCACGCCCTGGTAGGGATCCGGTTCCTACCAATTTGGTATCAGATAACTTCGGTGCGATCATGTCCTCACCGCCGACCACCCCGACCCTCCCACTACCGACCGCGACGACCGCCCCGATGGCCTAAAGGAAATATGCCCTAGAGGCAATAACAAAGTTGTTATTATATTTCCTTATATCATGATAAATGTTTATTATTCATGCTAGAATTGTACTAACCGGAAACTTAGTACATGTGTGAATACATAGACAAACAAAGTGTCCCTACTATGCTTCTACTTGACTAGCTCGTTAATCAAAGATGGTTATGTTTCCTGACCATAGACATTTGTTGTCATTTGATGAACAGGGTCACATCATTAGAGAATGATGTGATGGACAAGACCCATCCGTTAGCTTAGCACTATGATCGTTTAGTTTGTTGCTATTGCTTTCTTCATAACTTATACATGTTCCTATGACTATGAGATTATGCAACTCCCAAATACCGGAGGAACACTTAGTGTGCTATCAAACGTCACAACGTAACCGGATGATTGTAAAGATGCTCTACAGGTGTCTCCGATGGTGTTTGTTGAGTTGGCATAGATCGAGATTAGGATTTGTCACTCCGATTGTCGGAGAGGTATCTCTGGGCCCTCTCGGTAATGCACATCACTATAAGCCTTGCAAACAATGTGACTAATGAGTTAGTTACAGGATGATGCATTACGTAACGAGTAAAGAGACTTGCTGGTAACGAGATTGAACTAGGTATTGAGATACCGACGATCGAATCTCGGGCAAGTAACATACCGATGACAAAGGGAACAACGTATGTTGTTATGCGGTTTGACCATAAAGATCTTCGTAGAATATGTAGGAACCAATATGAGCATCTAGATTCCGCTATTGGTTATTGACCGTAGATGAGTCTCGGTCATGTCTACATAGTTCTCGAACCCGTAGGGTCCGCACACTTAACGTTCGGTGACGATTGATATTATGAGTTTATGTGTTTTGATGTACCGAAGGTAGTTCGGAGTCCCGGATGTGATCACGGACATGACGAGGAGTCTTTAAATGGTCGAGGCATAAAGATTGATATATTGGAAGGTTATATCCGGACACCGGAAGGGTTCCGAAGTGTATCGGGTATTTTTCGGAGTACC